ATCTACAAGGTCCCTCCCGACCCGACTTCTATGATTCTATGACCAAGGGGGAACCAGTCAAGTGTGCGACACCCTCAGGCCAGCAGCAGCGGCAGGAGTGCCTGGAGCCCAGCGCTGTGCCCATGGCCCTCACCTGTAGTCCCGGAACGTGTATGCTGGGGGCTCCTTGACACACACCATGGCCTCTGCATTGAGGATGCAGTTATCCACATGCACATCGTGGCTGTTGTCTGTCCGGTCTTCTTGCTTATCTAAGAGAAGACAGCCTGGCTGATCAGACTGGCTACTGTCATCTCAAAGGGCAGGACTCGGCTATCCATACCACTTACCAAGCACTAAGCCCAAGGAAACCCGCAGCAAGACCCCAACCCACAACACAAAGAGCCTATCCCCATACCAGCGCTCTGACTTGAGGATTTGGGGCTGTCCCCAAGGAGGCTGCAATGCAGTGGGAGAACTCTGTTATCCTGTTGCCTGGTTTGACTTACACCTGCAAGGTGCCCTAACCCTTCTCTATTTCTGGTGGGACATCAGTTATTTCCCTACTCATTCTGAGACGGGCATTGAACTTCTCTGCTTTACCCAGCACTTCTGAGGGTGTGGACAGACATGGGGCAGAGCCTGGGATGGCAGGCCAAGGCACCCAGGGCAGGGAACAAGACTGAGCAGCAACAACATGCTTAGCGCAGTGCTTGGCCTGTGTCATGAGGGAGGTGAGGCTAGAGGGTCCCAGTGGTCCCTTCTAGCTAGTGAGCATCTGAATCCGTGGGCACTGCTGGCCTTGAAATTCAGGTAGTCAGGATGCCCAACTCTTTTACACGCTCATGGACACTCACTGCCCCAGGAGGTACTGGTGGAACCCATCTTTACTTGGTATCTGGGAGGAGGGAAGATCTCCAAGGTGGGGAGTGTCCAGAAGGGACAAGATGATCAAACACAGTCTTGGTCCAGATACTGGCTGGATCGCTGTTCTGAGTCTGGGATGGGGGAAGGATTCCGGGAAAGCCAAGAAAGGATCCTGTGAGATGAACCTCAAGATCATCCCCCAATAAAAGGCAGGCATATACCACCTAAATCTCCAGTAATTTCAGGGGGCCCTGCAGGTAAGTGTCCCCTGAAGCCCCCAAGCTTTGGGGCAGGCACGTTAATAAGCACAGGGCTGAGCCACACATGGACCTCTGAGCTCCAGGAAGGAGTGAGAAGGAGCCCTCAGCATCTGTCCCAGAGCCTGAAGGCCACTGAGGGCAGCACCACCAGTGAAAACCAGGAAAGGGAAAGCACAAGGCCTGGGTCCCACTGAGGCCGGGTGAGGCCCCAGCACCTGCATTCACCTTCAATGGCTGTGCGGCACACCAGGTGCGAATAGGAGAAGTAGAGCGGTGTGTCCAGGCGGAAGTAGGACTCCATCAGGCGCCGCACCTTCTCCGTCACGTTGTAGTAGAGCCAGGCACTCTGCACAGGGACTTTGTGCTCCTGGCCCAGCTGCGGTAGACAGAGAGCATGTTCATGAGGGCTGCCGTTGCTGGGCGGCCAGGCTTCTCCCCTGGCCGTTACCCTGAGCTGTGCTTCCAGCTGCTCTATGGGAATGGCAGTGTTCAAGAGATGGTGCCCTTTGCCCAAGGCTGGGATATGAAGACTGGGGCCCACCCCCTCGGCCCTCTCTGGCTGGCATGGGGTTTCTTTGCACTCACTCAGGGGTTACTCTACGGCTTGGCCATTTTCTGAATCAGCTTTGTCATGGGTAGCCAGTCCTGTTCATGCCTCCAGGCAAGAACAGGTGGGTGTGAGGTCTGCCAAGACCTCGTTCCTCGATGGCCCAAACCCCAGCCCCACCCAGCTCTAGTCTCACTCTTCTGCCCACTCGCACCTGGGGTTCACCCCATCCCCAAATCTGCCACAACAGCAGTCCTACCCTGAGGGCTTTATAGACGGTCACGCCGTAGAAGGTCTCGCTGGGAGTATGAGGGGATGTTTTCCCACGATAGCCATCCCCAGCAGAGGCAGCTGCCTGCAAAACCCAGAGTCAGAGGTGAGACATCTGTGCCGCTGCCTGCCCAAGAGAAGGGACCAGGCAGACCCTGGTGAGACCAAGGAGACCAAGCAGAGCATCTGGGGACCCCACACAAGCACAGTAGGTAGGAACTCCTCAAAAAAGCAATGCCAGGAATAGACACCAGGATTCATGGTGCTGGGAACCAGCCCTGCTAGAAACTCCAGTCCCAGCTACAAGCATCAGACTCCAAGGTGAGGAATTCAGCCTGGCCCCTCTCCACCCAGCACAGGCCCTCAGTGACCTCCATCCTGCCTTCCAAACCAGACCCCGCACCCCTTCCTTTCCAGTAGCAGGCTGGACATGTTACAGCTACAGTCGTTGTCTTGCAAGTCAGACAAAGCGATGTCCCTTGTATGCAGCAGTGGGTGCGCTGGGTGTCTGCACTGCCAGTTGGGGAGGGGAGTTGGGGTGGGAGACAAAGGACTCAGTTTCACACCTTAAGAATGGCAGTGGATTGACTGTCTCTCTAAAGAGTTTGCTCAGGTATTTTTAAGTGGCACTCCTCCCTCATCTCCCTCTCCCAGCTACACCCAGTCAATCCTCCCCTCCTTCCTGCCTGGCTTTGGTGTCCACCTGGACCCACACACCTCACTTCCTCAGGATTTCCCTACCCAGGTTCTCTGCGTCTCCCAGCCAGCCTGTTCCTCCCCAGCCCTGCATTTCCTGGGTGCTGCGGGTAGCAACTAGCCACTCACATTGGTGAGCCTCTGCAGTTCCCGACACTCCTCATCAGAAATAACTCCGTCCACCACCACGCGCTGGGAGCCATTCAACATCCTGGAGTTCATGGTGATGCTGACCCCATCATACAGCAGTGGCCCACCTGCAGAGCCAATGCACAGGTCAGGGGAGCACCTGGCGGGGTTGGTGGGACCAAGGGCAGAAGAGGGTGCGTCAGTCCCTCCTCGCCCACTGCCCTCTGGCTCCTCTCACCTTCCCGAATTAACTTGTTCATGTCCACAGACTCTTTGGTCTTCTCCTCCACCAGCGTCTCTATCTCCTTCATCAAGTTGCCAATCTCTTCAGAGATTCGTGCTGCTGTCTCACGCTCCACCCTGCAAACAGAGAGGCCTTCAGGAGCAGCCCCAGGGCTCCACTGCCCCAACCTGCCTTGGCGGCGGGGGCCAGATTGAAAGACCTGCAGGGAGACTGTGGGGGGCAACTTTGAGGTCTCCATAGAGGGGGCAGTGACACGCACAGTAGGGTTGCACAAAATTTCATCACCAGTTTTGTTTCAATGCTGTTTTGACCCGTTTTGAGGTCAAAACAGCAAAAACAAAACAAAACAGGTAAGGTGGAAACATTT